AATGTGCCAACAGTGCAGGAAGCTGCAGAAATGTTTGCCAATGCAAGCACAGGGTCCAAGTCCCCTGAACAGCTGTGTCTTCCATCTTTCCTCAGCACCGCTGCACATTAACGGACTAGTATGTTCTGCCGCACACATGACACAAACATGTTGACAAAACTTTGCATGTTCCCACTGTGACTGTCAAACAAAATGCATCTCCACTAATAAACTAATATGTGAATAACATCAAAACAAAAGAGTTTTGTCTGCAACCACACACACACACACACACACACACACAAATCCACTTTACACAGTTGCCTTTCAGAAGCTTTGAGTTGAGCACACAAACACAGACACAAATCTGCCACATGTGTGTGTCCTGGATGGATGGATGGAGTGAGCGTGCTCAGACAGGGCCAAAGCCCCCGCAGGCTCTGGGAGTATTTATGTGTGTGTGTGTCATTTTAGAGTGGAAAAATATTAGCTGTTCATAAAGCCCTTAACTGTACTGTAACACCTGTGTGGCTCCATCGTTTATTGTATTCCACAAAACTAGAAACCAGCAAAACACAGTGTTAACTTTTTATTGATATGAGTTGTATTAAATGTTGTGTTTGAAAAAGATAATGCTGCTGTTGTCAGATTCATTGGTGTCAAGCACAGTTATTAAATCTCTGATGGGCTCTGCCGGTGAAACAGAAGGATACCTGACAAGTGATTTAAGGTAAAACGTGTACGTTCATCCTCGCTGACAGTGTTTTGGTCCATGTCGGTCTGCTGACAGCTTAATAACTGGCTGTCCACATATCACTTGCTCGCTGTTCTCGTTCTGAAGGGCGGCAGAGGCAGGAGGAGGAAGTCGTGGGCAGCAAAACAATTTGGAAGACTGAGATAGGACAGGACATAGTGAAGCACACTCAGACCCCCAGGACACCCTGCCAGGTTCTGCCTGTTCATCTATTTCCGTGGCAGAATAACTCAGCACGGATCTTTTAGCACCAACTGTCCCCGCTGAAAGAGCCGAGGAGTCACATTTTTGCATGTGTGATTGTGATGTATGAGAAAAAGGAAAGGTGGTTTCTGTGTGTAACCTGCGCTGCACGCGTTGAATTCTTGTGTGAGCCCTTCAGCTGTGCAACCTCCGGGCTCTGAGGAGAAAACTGCTGATTATAAAACCAAAACAAAGGCGGAGAACCAGGTAAAACTGGGGATACAAAGTCACTTGCTGCTCCCTGCAGATGGTTCCCCTATAAATACCAACGCCACCAACTGCATTTACAAACAAGGCAGTGCATACATATGCATGCAATGAAAAAGTTATGACTCAAAGCTCCTGTATGAATAGGGAGACTTTTATGTGCAGCAGTTTGTCAATCAGTGAAATCTCTTGCATATAAAACAAACCTGAAGAGCTTTTTTTTTTTTGTCTCAGGTGAGACAGGCCTTCTGCTTATAAAAACAATGTAAATCTTGGGCTGACAGTTTCACTAGACAGGCCTGATTAACACCGCCGATGATCTGAGTGTAAGATTACAAACATGGACGTCGACTCAGAGACTATCACATAAATGTAAGAGCAACAATGTGGAATCACCGAGTAATTTTTTTAAGGTATAAAAGGTGAAGGGGGAGACTGATAAACTGAGCAAGATGACATGAGTAAGAGTTATGTTTCAGGGAAAAGAGAAAGAAGAAAAAATAACAATAGGAAGGAGATTAATGAGATGACAGTGTGGAAGGGGGGGGAAGATAGTGTCCATGGGAATAATTAGATAAATAAGACGAGGGAGGAGTGCAGGAGAGACGACTGAAATGGGTGAGAGGTCATCTGGAAAACTGAGAGAAGCACATTCCTTCTTTCTCTCTTGTTCTCTTCAAAACAGCAGCTGGGACAGGTGTGCTTTTACTGATGGCAGAAAGTGCACATGCCGCTGACTGCCTCCCAGTGTGCTCCATGTGTGTGTGTGTGTGTGTGTG